TTTTTTTTTTGATTTTCAGTGATATTTTTATTCTGTTTTTATGGATCAGAGTCTCTGAATCATTCCGTAAAAAGCTTGATGTATAAAATTTATTAGGTGTTTACGAATGGTTTGTTTTAAGGTCTCAAATTCAAAAACAAGCTTTATGAATTTTTTTCTAATGCTAACAATTTCCTATCTAAACAGCAAACAATTTAAGTCATTTATTAGTTGTTTGAATGCGCAAATATGATGATGATGCTTTCAGTTATAATCTAAGCTCAACTAATGTAGAAAAAATTTTATTAATCTTTAGTAGTACAACAAATTTCAACTCATCATCTCGGCTTCTGATAAATGATAATCTAAAATCTAAGAAAAATTTTTTTTGAGGGAAAATCTAAAAAATATTTTTTAACTTAGATTCTGTTTTTACTTTGAAAATCACATTGAGATGCTGACGAACGAACATTACAGAATAATTTATTATTAAACTTTTTATAACACTGTGCAGCAGATAAAGATTGTCTGTTTATGTTCTTCCTATCAAAATAAAGAAATTCTGAACAATGGTTCAGTCACTCGAAAGGAGCAGTACCGTTTGATTAAGTATATTATGTTAGGCCGTAATGCTTTTTACACGATTTTTTAAGAGCACCTATATGCTTACCGAAACAGCTTCGATGCCTATTATGACCAACGACAACAGTTTGCTGACCACCACTATCGGCAGCCCGTTACCGATGTTTCAGGTATATTCTAAAATATTTAGTATTTTGAAATATCTAAAACTTTTCTGTTAATGACTAGAAGCCAACTATCTACGCACCAATGGTATAATAATGAACTAGTATGAATGTTCAGTAATACGACGATGGTAACCGATATCATTCTATAGATGTACTTTGCCATTTACCACTTTTCTATATAAGTTGGTAGCAGCTAATTCCTTTTCCGATTACGTATGCAAATTTAATGAATATTTGTGTTTAACAGCCAAATATTACATCTGAGTTTTGTAATCAAAACTCAAAGATTTCTGAAAGCAGAAGGAAGAAAAATGAAGTTAATCAGAGTTTGGTTTCTAATTTTCAAAAGGAAAATTTTGATGGTAGGAAACAGATAGTGACGCTAAAAAATCTACAATTTTCCTGTTAAACAACATTACATTCTGACTACAGATTGAAATTGCCCCGTGTGGTATAGCAGAAACGTCAAATGAAGAGCCTGTTGGCGTATTACGAATTAAACCTGTAAACGGGTCTAAATTTATTGGTTATGGACCAAATTTTGACCAGAATTCGGAGTGGATTGACACTGGGTTTGATTGCAATGCTATTTTTCTTTTTTTTTTTTCTTATCGTTTTCTTTTATTTCAATCATAAAAGCTGAAAAGAAAAAAAAAACAATGACAGAAAGAAAAGTAAAACAGAATAGATTAAAAAAAAAAAAAAAAACTGAAACTGATTTCAGCGATGTAGTGAAACTGAATCGGTCTGGTGCCATTAGCCTAATTGCTAATAAGGGAGATTTGATTTTTACATCTTCTGGAAAACTCGTCAAACATTGGATAATTGAAAAAACCTTATGCTTGTGCGACTTTATCAAAGGAGCTCAGGTTACTTCTTTTTCCCTGTTTAACTGTCAACAACGTCACCATCATCATCATAGTTATGAACAAAAATTTTTTTAAAAGAGAAGCTAAGCTTGTTTACGTCAAGCTTATTTAATTGAATTTTTCACGAGTCTTTCAACAGAAGAAAAACGCCACAAACCTTACTTCCTTAATTTAAGGAACTGAAAATCAATTTTTTTGCATTCAAATGTGAAGAACGGGTCAATTAACAATGAAACTATTTTGGCTTTGAATTGCAAATTTCTATCCTTCATTTTTCTAGGTTGTTAAAGTGACAAAAGATTCGCCGTTAACGGCAGTCGTGGTGCTAAAATCGAATTCTGTTGACCGTTTTCAGATTAAAGCTGAATTACAAGCAATTTGTAAGAACAATAAGGTAGGAACTATTGATTTCAATACTTTCGTAACATTTTTTATATCACTTTATTTTGGCCTACTTTTTATTCCCTACTTTTTATTTTTTTCCTTTTAAACAAACAAATTGATGAGGTCATTATTGTTCTGATGGGCGGAAAACAATGCAGATTTGTGAAACGGCATTTTGCCTTCAGTGTTGTCTATTTTGTTATGAGATAATTAGTGGAAAATTTAATTTAAGCTGGATATACCGGAGAAATTTGCATTTGTTACGGAATTGCCAAGGATAAATACGAAAATTCAGAAGTATCGTCTAAGACAAATGATTGAAAGCAATAATCTTGATTTAATTTGACCAACCATTGTCTTTTTTGTTTTTCTTTTTTTTTTTATTGCACTGTGTTTTTGCTTTTGTTTTTTACTGTTATGGATAATCCAGTTTTTTTTTTTTTACGTTGTTTATTTGCCTATGTGAAGGTTTTTGTGAGAGGAAAAAAAATGAATAAAACAAATGATTGTGAATATGAATAAATCTTCTGAAATCGTCATCAATAACTACAGGTGCTTTGTCATCCGGTTTAAGTGCCAAAAATTTATAGGCTTTACAATTACTGCAATTTTTGTAATCAAATCTTCGATTATAATGCGAGATGAATAAGTATATAAGTACTGACAAATTACGGAGGCTTTTCGATTTATTAACGTATTCTCTCGTCGTAATTGCTGTTTCAGCACAGTAATCCTTTTCAAAGATTATTAACTTAAAAAAAAAATCACCAGTTTTGGTCACCTATGCATTAGATTGGTCAGTGAATAGCTCAAGTTAAAGTCATTTTTACTAAGTATCAATAATGTTGAAGATACTGTAAGATACTATTTATGTAACAAATATTAATAAATCAGTTAATGATTTTATCCTTGTAAAAGTATTACAGTCAACTGCATATTCCTTGCAACATTTCATTGTAAAATTACGATCTTAACAAAAAAACA